TCCTTCGAGCCTCCAGAAGCCTGGACAGTCAGAACAGAAAGCAAAACAGACTCACCGTGGGACAAATCAGAACTGAAGTCTCCAGGCGCCAGACTGGGGACAGAAAAAGACAGAAAAGAGACCGAGGGTCTTCAGGGAATCCTGGATGAGCTTCCAAAATGTTCAGGGTTTGAAGAATTCCCTGAATTGACCACTCAGACACTGAGTCTCAGTAAAAACACAAGCGCTTTATAGAAGCCAGCTGGCTGGGGGCACAGACAGTTTCGGGAGCTGTGCTGTGAACTTGAGCTGTGAAAATGTAGGGCTTTTAAGTACAAAAACCACAAAGCAGGGAATTTCTACAGAAACCATAAACAAAAGAACCAGGAAAGGATTTGAACAATCTAGGGCTGATTTCCAGAGCCTTAACCTATACAGCCATTGGCTAGCTTACCTGGGGCAGAAAGTTCTTCCTCTTCTGCCCCAGACCATTCCCATAGAGACCATAAACAGATGTACCAGAAAAGGGTTTGAACAATGGAGGGGATTTCCAGAGTCAGGTGGAGGCCAGGTCTTTCTCAGAGGACAGGGAGGGGGTCTGAGGGGCACTCTCCTTCAGTACCACTATGTCCAGCATGGGTGGGCAATGTGTACAGCCTAATTCTTTCATGTGTGGAAAATCTTCAGCTTCCAGCTGGAAAACTATATCCATAGGAAAAGCGTCCTGAATTGTCATGACAAGTGTGTAAGGCAACAATTACTCCAGCCCTATCCCACAGGGACTTAAGAAGAAAACATACTGGACAAAGAGGAATGCCCAAACATGGCAAGAAATGTAGGCTATCAAGTCCTATTTGCCACAGGGAACTGAGGCACCATTGTAAATCTCAGCTAGAGTGGCAGTGCAGGTAATAAACATATCCCAGGCCCAAGTCTGGCTCTTGGAGCAAGGTCCACCTAGTGCTCATTTCACCAATCCTTAATGGACAAGCTAAGTGGGCTGATAAGTTGGCAGAACAAGCACATTGGTTTTTGGTCTTTGGGGCAGAAACTATCATAGTGGGAATGTCCCTGAAGTTTCCTCTATCCCTCCAGGCCAAAATAATAAAAATACACTAATGATCCATTTGAAGAAATATGCAGAGATGGTGGCATCATCATACACTGTCATTGAAGTCACCAGTCCAGCTCCATCAAAAACCGGACAGATCATGGAAAATCAGAGATTACCCATTGTTCCCACTGGTCTTGCTGCTCTTTGAATGCGGGGCCTTGTGCAGGCTAGGCAGGCATTTTGTCTCTGAGCTACTTTCCTCTAGCCCTTGTCTCACTATGTAACCTAGGTTGGCCTTGAACTTTGGATCCTCTTGCCCCTGCGTCCTGAGTGCAGAGATTACAAGTGTATGTGCCACTTCTCCCAGATGTAATTTCAGCAGAGTAATTCTGTCATCCCTAGTGTTCCATCTTTGGCAGTTCTGGGTTAGACTTCTGGCAACTGTGAAGTTGGGTGTCATTATCAGTGCAGCTCCTGACAGACCTATCAATAGCTGGGATGGGGTGAAAAGTGGATAATTGGCCGAGTGATGGGTGAGCACAAACAGCAGGACAGAAGCCATTCTTTCTGAGCATCAGGTAAAGGTAGCAAAGCAGTAAACCTTTTAAAAAGATTTATTTCTAATTATGTATATGTGTTTACATGAGGGTGCAGGTATTTGTGGAGTCCATGAGACCATGCCACATCCTCTGGAACTGGAGTAACAGGTGGTTTTGAGTAGTCCGACATGGTGCTGGGAACCAAACTTGGGTACTCTGTTAAGAGCAGAATGTACTCTTAACGTGTCATCTCTCCATCATTAAAAAATAATAATGGGGGCTGGAGAGCTCAGCAGTTAACACTGTCTATTCTTACAGAAGACCAAGGTTCAAATCCCCACACCTACATGGCAGCTAACAACTGTCCATAACTCCAGTTCCAGGGGATCTGACAGTCTCTTCTGTTCTCCGTGAGCATTGCATGACATGGGTGCACTTACCTAC